CCCACATTGCCTCATCCAGTTAAACGCCATATGGCCTTTCTCCAAAAATTCAAATAAAACAGTCATGAGGCACGTCATGAGCCTAACCCCCCGTGTCCTCCTGGCTTGTCCCTTGCCCCATGTGCTCATAGAGCGCTGCAAAGCACTCGTCATGCGTGCCACTTGGCACCTATGTAGATAAGAGGGGTGTGTGTAAGTGGCCAGAGGGCAGCTTGAGGAGTTCAGGTATGGAAGGTATGGAACTATGTATATGTATATACTAATTATATAATAATATACTACTACTATTATATACAGTGCTATTATAGTAGTAGTATATTATACTCTTGTAGTAGTAGTATGTTATAATATAAATTTTAAATTCATATCTGTATATCCATTATATACTAGCCTGGGACTCAAACCTAAATATCATTGCTTAGTCTCATATCTATCGTGTAGCTATCATATTAGCTTTATATTTATATTAACTATATTTATGCATATTATTCCTATACTTAGGATCATTATATTTCATTCACCCTCATTCATTACTATAATCGTATAAATTTCTTGGCCAACCCTCGCTTCTGACTATCTCTTTGTGCCAGAGTCTATTTTGTGCGCCGGCTAGCTGAAGCTACGTGCACTGCCGGCAACCGGTCACGTTTATTGTTGTTGTTTGTTGTTGTTGCTGTTGATGTTGCTGTTGCTGTTGATGTTGCTGTTGTTGCTGCGGAGTAGGAGTCCGAGTCCAAGTCATATTCGTAGGCAGTATCTGTGTATCTGTGGCTGCCGCTGCGGCCTCCGAGGTGGCCCCATGGAGACCAACTGATTGTGTAGCTGACTAGCTCTAACTGGCTGGCTGCTTGACCAGCTGTGCCCGCTGCTCATAACTGTAAAAACACGCTCGCCCACTTCCTTGGAGCATGGAAAGTGGAGACTGCAAGAGCAAGGCAGAGGCAGGGGCAGAGGCTGGAGCAGGGGCAAGCTTTGTCCACATGGCGTGTGTTTGATTTTTAGGTTTCATTTATTGCTTCATTTCTAGCATTGTTGTGCGTGTGTGTGTGTGTGTATGTGGGCATGTCATTGGCATGCTATGTGCAAGTGTGTGTGTGTTAATTTTTAATTGTGCTAAATGTGCACATAAATATCAACAGAGATAAATACAAAAGCACGATATATATACAAATGCAGCAACAGCAACAACAATGGAGACAATATTCACAATAGACTCGTACAATTCACAATTTTCAATTTCAACACCCACCCATGATTTGGCTTATTTGCGATTGTTGTTGTTGTTGTTGTTGCTGTTGCTGTTGCTGTTGCTGGCATGAATGGAGCGAATATGTGAGCTGCCTTTTGTTAGCTGACATTGGCACCAGCAGCTGTCAAATGTATCTATGTGTGTGTGTGTGTGTGTGTGTGCCTGGGTATGACTTAATAGCTGATAAATAATGGCAGACGCCAGCGTAAATGGTCGTCACATGTGCGTCTGTCTACTCTCTCTCTGTGTGTGTGTGCGTGTGTGTGGGCAAAATGCATTTCGAATGTGTCAAATGTTCGTTGGGGCCCAATCAATGCCGATTCGATTCGTAGATACAATTGTATCTCAAGGGATAACAAGATACATTTTGTTGTTGTATTGTAAAATAGAAATAGAAGAAAGCAATCAAAATGTTACTGTGTTGTTGTTGTTGTTGTTGGTGGTGTTGTTGTATTGGCGCCCACTTATGGCTGATTTGGGCCATTCACGAAAATTGGCCACATTTTGGGACAAATATAATATATAGAAATATATACAAATAACACTCTGTCTCTCTCTCTCACTCTCACAGAGTGAGATAGACTGCCTTTATCTGTCTGTTTATCCTCCACTTTAACCGCATGCATAAATCTCACTTTTAATTTATTGCGTTTCGTTCTCAATCAATCAGAGATTTCTTTTTGTTAATTTAAGCTAAATTATTTGTGTTTTATTTATTGTTTTAGCCGATTTGAATTGAGATTTCGTTTATTTTCTTTTCGCATTTTTAAATAATTCAACAAGTATTTGAAATATTCGCATAAACAATTTTCATTGCACTAATTTGTGCTCCATAATAAACACATTTGGCCTCTGGTAATATTTCTTTGGATGGGTCTATATACGAACTTTTTTGACCCACTGCTGTGTGAGGCATGTGGCACAAAGCGAAAATTTTGGATAGCGGGCTAACTCTAAGGTTGTAGAGAGTGAGGGAGAGAGAGAGAGAGAGAGAGAGAGAGAGAGAGAGAGAGAGAGAGAGGTAGAGAAGTTAGAGAAGAAGTGTAATTTATAAAATTTGTATATAATGTAGTTTAAAAAAAAATGTATGTAATGTATTAAAAAATTTGAACTTCAGGATTATTATCTGATGTTTGTTAATTTTTTCTTTTTAATAATTATAAGATTTTATATGCTACTCATAATTTGCATGATT